GTTAATAAAAGCTACAGTAATTAATAGAACAAAAATAGGGTTGGATTTCATGAAAATTGTTAGGATTCTAACTGTAATATAGTTTTATACAGCACTGGACAAAGCACACAGACAGAGAAGTAAGTATGGAGTAAAGCAGAGTCAGAGAAGAAGTGGGAAAGACAAAATGCGGGGCATGCATGTTGCAGATGGCAAGTCGTAAGAGACAGGGTTGGACTGAATGACCTTGATTTGATTTGATTTGATTTGATTTGATTTATTCTTTCAAGCATGTAAAGACAGTTGATATGACAACACACATAATCTTACACATATCCAACAAATGCTAATCCAATGTCAATTTGCTTATACCTAGTACATGCTTGAATGGAGTAGGAAGAAGTCAGACTTATCCAGTCCTACCCCATAACATCAGACATTACCATCATTGGTTTGCAAGCAGTAAATAATTCTCTTCTACACCACACAAGTATTATACTAAAAAAAGATTATAACAGAGTGTTAACATTCTTACATAATTACATTCTTAAATAATTATCTTCTACACCACACAAGTAATATACTAAAGAATTATTACAAAGTGTTAACATTCATGCACCACACCCACAATGTTCCATCTAATTAATCTTTGAGCCTGTTCTTGCATATATCTTGATTGACACATACCTTTATATTTATGTTTAAACTCGTCAATTCTATTACAATTTTTTATGTCTACACTTAAATTAATCCATAGTTTTACCCCACTTATGGAAATACAAAATCTTTTTTTGGTTGTACGTATAGCATGAATTTTTAAATTTAACTGACCCCTTAAATTGTATCCCCCTTCCCTTTCATTAAATAGTTTTTGAATTCCACCAGGTAATAAATTGTTCCTGGCTTTATACAAAAACACAGCAGTCTTATATCCCACTAAATAAAAATTTTAACAATTTAGACTGTATGAAAGCTACATTGGTGTGATCCCTATACCCCATCTTATGCACAATTCTTATCGCTCTTTTTTGTAATATATACAATGGTTGAAGTGAGCTTATGTATGTATTTCCCCAGTTTTCAACACCATACTCTAAGTATGGTAAAATCAATGAAGAATACAAAACGTGTAGTGCTTTCCCGTCCAAAATATATCTAACCCTTGCCAATATCAATATATTTTTGCTATTTTGTTCTGAAAATATCTGATATTCAATTTCCAAGA